ATCTACGCCTCTATTCAAGCCTTGAAATTGACGTAGCGCGAGAATTCTGGTCTTCTAGCGACAGACTCGCCGTTTCCACCCCTAACATTTATAAAACGGTTAAACCGATTATACGGAAATGAGAATCGATTTACAGTCCTAGAACTAAGTGCAACAACATGTATAGTTTTATGAAAATTGAAGTGTTTGTGCGAATCCTGCTTTTTGATCATACTTTTTTACATGCCATTTTTCATGTTTGCGATTAACTGTTAATAGCATGTTGTAAATACAATATAACGATGAGTAGTGATGGGCACCGCGCATAATCCCGCGCGGGATATATTATATAATTCGGACAGTGTTATAAATCTGGCCGGGTTCCGATATATTACGAAGCCGAGGTGAAATTTTGACCCATTTCTATAAGATTCCGAAATATAAAAAAAAATAATTCCGCGCGGGAATTTTAGAAAAACAGCCGATTGCCCATCAGTATTGTAATAGCGGAAACTAGTGCACTTGATATAGTACGTGAAATTGGATTTGTCTCTCATCAGGGTTACAAATGAAAATCAACAAAAAATCAATTATGGGTTATCTGTCCCTTCCGCATTCGTGCTATAGCTACAACAGTACAGAATTCGAGAGTATCGAAAGAAGCGACTAATGCTACTAATGCTACTATTGCTACAGGTGTTACGAAAAACATTCTTGGAGGGCAGGGCGAAAAAAACCAGAATTCTGGAAAAAACCCTGTCGCTACCAAGTAAAAAAACTGGTGCCATACTTCAACGTAAAGCACAAATCCTAATGACTGCCGTCTCGACAGGCCATTAACTATTCAACTCGTTTATGACTGTTGTCTCGACAGGCCAAATCTTACCCAAAAAAACAAAAACCCTGACTGCTGTCCTGCCGGTCATTGTTACTGCTTCAATAGTCCCCAATAGGGTTGGGTAGGGTGGGATGAAAAAACCAGACAAACTCGGGTTAGCAGAAAAAACAGAAATTACCTTTCCTGGAAAAAACCCCGATCCCTTAAAAACCTACAAACGATTACTAATGGCAAATTCTACGTCATTATGACACAAAAATCATGCGAAATCATACAACAATCAAACAATGCAAAAAGCGAAATCATGCAATAATCAATACAATGCATCACTTAACAATTACGAAAACCCTGTGATCGATTCGAGACAAAAAAGCTGCTCCGATACTTTCGTTTCGGGCAGCTAAATTTGTCTCTCTTCGGGGAGTTACAAATGAAAATCAACGAAAAAAATCAATTATGGGTCTTCACAGAGACTCATTGCAAGGGAAATTTGGTTCTGAAGAGCCCACTTCCTATCTTCCACTAATCGAAACCCATTAGCTTTGAGGCCCCCATCTCGGCAGTACTAACTGCTCTTATGTAAAGCTGCACTGCCCCTGAAGACCAACTGCCAATAGACTGGATTTGCTCCATTGTCATTCCTCTCCTCATGGCCGCAGTTGCACCCCAATTCTCAAGCTATATGCGGTAAACTTCTCCTACAGTCCTGCATTTTCCGTAAAACGTCTAACTATTGCAGAAACAGCTGCTATAGACAATTTACCACCTGTCCTAGACAAAAACAATGGCGCCTCTAAAGACGTACTAGGTTTCACTCTCAGGTATAAATATTACAATTTTACTGGGCAGAGCCTGCCTGCTGTTTTTTCAATTGGATCGAATTTTCCTCTTCCTAACTGATCCGTTTTGGATCTTGAAATCCTAATCCACAATCTTCCATCTTGTTCCAAAATATCTGACATTCTTAAATTACACAACTCACCCGGCCTACGCATTACCCTCAGGCCTAAAGCTACCAAGGCAATATCCCGCGCCCAAAATTCAACACTAACTCCTGGTGGTGGACAGTCAAAGTACCGTCCAACTACTGCTACTGGCAAGGGATCTCTAGGCCATTTTACCTCAGCTTTCCTTCGTGAAGCAACTCTTTTAATCCCTTCTACTAAAAAACGAATCAAACTACCTTTTGTTGGGTCTTCAAGATCCCTCAATTTATGTTCCCTCGCTATTGCTGCTAAGCAAACCGTTAATTCAGATAATCTTCCTGTCGATTCTAACCAGGCAAGAAAGGCTGCTAGCAGCTCCCTAGAGGCTGGATATGGTTCATAACCTTCCCAGTTTGCAAAATTTTCGAACACGATACGTGCCATTACTAAACGTTTTTTGTATGCTTCGCCTATAGAACTATCCATTAGAAACTCAGCTCTTCAAGCAGCCCTTTGACCAATCCAACAACACTGCCTTCAGATGCCATTGAGCATTTTTGCATGGCTTCTGGTTCCCCGAAGGTTCTGGTCAGATAATTTGGTCCGTTGGCGGCAATTCGATCTCCTTTCTGGAAGAGTTCACTATTAACGGCCACCACGGGGCCAAAACCCAAACTGGAACTATGATAACCACCCATGCCTGACACTCTTTTGCATGGCACAGTGCTCTGTGGATTTGGTTGAACGGGGAACATACATAATTCCTCACTCCGGCCCAGTTCTGGATAAAACAATCTATGGCCTCTGAGCCCGGGCAAAAATATAGGCTGTTGAACCTTTTGGCCTTTATGTTCAAGTGGCTCGCAAACCTGTCCACTTTGAAAGCTCCCCACATCAACTCTAGATAATTTACTATTTCCAAATTTAACATCCAATCTCCCGAATCGGCTACCCTTGTAAGAGGGTCCACTAGATTCAAATTGCTCAGAACCCACCAAATGTTGTAGATTGCAATATCATTTTTTACACAAACTTTCCAAATTTTCCTTGTAATGTTCTTCTGCCAATCTATCGTGCCCCCTTCTAAAACTGTTTTCAGGGCTACCTTGTTGTTGATAAACAGGGTAACCCAAGTACCCCTTAGTAGTCCTTTGAAGATTGTAAAGCCCGGAGCACTGCTAAAGCTTCTAGTTGGGCTATAACCCATGATGTGTGGGGTTGCGACCAACTCTCTACTGCTTGGTGCTTTCCCAACACCCCACACCAGCCGGTTATTGAGGTGTCGACATAAACTGACTTCACCTGAGAGGGCTTCCAAGCTGGATGGCCATTCCACTTTCTCAGGTTCTTCACAAGCCACTAAATGTTCTCGACTGCTTGAGGTGACAAAGTTACTTCATCGTCCCATTCCCATATGTGTTGGTTTCTTGCATTTATTAGCTTGAAGAACTCCATACACTTCACTTGACCCGGAAGAAAGGCCTTCGATAAGCTTACAACTTTTCCTACCACCAAGGCCAAATCCCTCACTGTTACCACCTGCAGGTCTAAGAGAGCTTCCAACTTCGAAGTTGTTGCCATAATTTTCTCTTCTGGTGCTACTATAGTTTCATTCAACGTATCTACGATCATTCCGCAGAACTTCAAAGCCTGGGTCAGATTCCGGCTTCCTTTTTCCCTGGCTCGGACCCAACCACAACCATCTAGGTCCTTCATTATCACCTCCATTATTTTCAACAAGCCTTTCTTCTCTGGGTATACTATCCATATATCATCCAAATGGCTTCCGCAGAAAATTCTTTGAGCACGGCATTTGCCAATTAGTGCCCTTATTAGTTTCGAAAAAATCCATGGAGCCTGGCTCAGGCCAAACAGCAAAACTTTGTATTAGTACCAGCACTCCTTTACTACAAAACCCAATAGCCTCTGCGCATCGACATCCATCAAAACGTGGTGATATCCCTCTTTCAGATCAAACAAGATTAACTACCATTTTCGGCCAATTGTTTGAAGCAGCCCTCCCAAACCTTCGAAGTGAAAAGGCTTCTGCGACAAGGTTTGATTCAGCCTTCTTAGGTCTATTACAAGCCAGAACTTTTTGGGCCCCTGTTTCAGAACCAAGAACACAGGGCTTACTTCCAGCAGTTCTAGTGGCCGAAAACTGCCTTCGGATACTTTCACTATCGCTTCTGCTTCCTCCAACCTTAGTAATTCGTTGTTCAGCCAAACCTCCTCCTCCTTGGTAAGTTAATAAGTCTTTGGGTCTGGGCTGTTTATTAACCATATCAAGTTCCTTGGAAATAGGGAAATGCTCTGCTTTAACCATCTCATTACTAACTGGGACAGACCTATTTCTTTCTCCCAATATTTTATCACAGCCTGACTGTGAATCCTTCCTATGACTTGAACTTCCGTAACTGCTATTTCCTCCAAAGATCCCGAGTGTGGTCAACTTTCCCCTTGCTAAGAGCCATCATCTCGAAAGGGCAACCCAATATGCTTTTTCTCGTTGGCAAAATGCCCCTTTCCCTCACAAATATAGCAGATGACTTCCTTTCCCTTAAACGCTCTGCTTCTGTTCGATCTCTTTTGCCACTGAGATACTGGATGATAAGGCTGTTGTACCTGAGGTGGCAGACTGGCACCTGGCCCAAATTGTTGTGCCTGTTGTCCTCCAAATTGCATAAACTGTACATTGGGTTGAAAAGGCAATGGAGGTGCTGTAGTGAAATCTCCGAATTTGCCCTGTGGTCCCAACTGGTGACCGAAGGGTTGCTAAAAACCGGAAATTGCATATATGGTTGCACCTGAGTAAACTGTGTCAGCTGAATACTGTTCATTTGAGGGGCTGGGGTCTGAATTGGGGACTGACCCACCCGAGGAGAATACGAAGCTCTTGCTTTTTTCGCCTTGGGAAAACAATGGCCACTATTCTGGCCACTTCCCGCTTATTTCCCAACAACTCAAACATTGAATCAAAACTATCTACTGCTGCCATCTTTGAAGCCACTTCCCATCTATCCTTGTCAGCCACCCTGACTACGTAAGCTCTTTCTAAAGCCACCTGCCTAGCTAAATGTAAATAATTCAAATCTTCCGAAGCTAAAGCCTTATCCATCAAGGCCCCACTTTACACCACTCATTATATTTCTACTGATTTCTTTGTTTAGACAATTCTCGTTTCTCCCAAATATTTCTACAATCCAAATCGTCAAGGGAAAACAAATTCAAATCTGTGCCCCAGCCCAGCGCTCTTGGATCCCAGGCCCCGCTATATATAGGATTTTGACCCAAAGGAACTTGTCTACCATAAGGATCATACAAACTTTCCGCCGCCAACTTAGCTTGTTGCAGCCTAACACTAGCCCACTAGCAAGCATCAGGCTCCTCCGAAAAACTTTGATCCTGATTTTCCGAAAATTGTCCATTTTTCCTTCTTCCAGAGGTTTCGGATTCGGAAAAAGGCATTTCCGAGCCAATCCGGGCCCTACTATCCTTAACTAACCTAGATACTATTTCTTTCTTTTGTCCCAATTCAGATATGCCCAAACTTTTACAAAGAAACTTCAACGCTTCCATCAACAAACGCTCCAGGCTTGCTTCCAAGCTCGTTTGTGTCGAGTCAAGCTACAGCGAAGTGTTAACTGAAACGACAGGTTCTGTTTCCTTATTAGTAGTTGACATAATGAAAAAATTCTTGTACTACTCTATTTCAGTTAACTAGCGCCCGAGGTAACAAGTTCTTTTATTAATATTGCTTAAATAGATAAAAAACATGGAGTATATACGTTCTCCATATGAAAGCTTTGCGCAAAAGGCAAGTATATACTGCACAAAAAAAACTCGTATGTGTTTGCACGAAAAAACAAGTGCATATTCTTGCAAAAAAAAAATCAAGTGTGTATTGCACGAAAAATCAAGTGTGTATTTGCACGAAAAAACCAGACAAAGTTGGGATAGCAGAAAAAACAGAAATTACCTTTCCTGGAAAAAACCCGATCCCTTAAAAACCTACAAACGATTACTAATAGCAAATTCTACGTTATTATGACACAAAAATTATGCGAAATCATACAACAATCAAACAATGCAAAAAGCGAAATCATGCAATAATCAATACAATGCATCACTTAACAATCATAAAAACCCGTGATCGATTCGAGACAAAAAAGCTGCTCTGATACTTTCATATCGGGCAGCTAAATGACTAGATACAATAAAACAGAATTTGCATTAGTAAACATAACATAAAAAATTAATTTAAACTTTATCTTGTGCTTGATCGGTTTTACGTGATGATCCCAAAACTTATGTATAACAAATACGCTAACGAATAAAGTATACAGTACTCAAAGTTTTACTGCGGAAATTTGAATTATCGAAATTTGGATGATCGTGAGTCAACCATATACTCAATATGGTACTACAAGATGTCATTATTGCAGGTTAAAATGCAGTTTGAATAGACCAACAGACTAGTCAGTAAAAAGTCACTGATAAACCTGTAAAAGCATGTACCTGAATATATATAATTGATGAAAAAATTTATAAAGTGGTCTTAAGGGGTTAAATAGAAAACTCAATATTCTTTAAAATGATTTATAATCAGGCTATATCTCGATTTTGACTAGCCTATTCATGACTCAGCCTATATATTGCAATATCAATGTATCTGAAATGGTTATTCTACTTACATCATCTTACATAACATGTGTATATTTTTATAGTTAAATATATCGTAACGCACAATAACTGCATAGTAACGGTGGTAATTACATAATTACATAATTACTATGCAGTTACTGCGCATTAATAAATTTAAGCTTCTGCATACGTAGTATATTTTATTTTTTATTTATATAATAAAAATAAAGTTTTATTTTATATGTACATTTATTTAAAGTGAACGGTTTAAATACCGAATTTTGTCAAAAAATTCTCATACGTTCGTTCGTAATATATTATTTCTGCCTAACAATCATGATACTATTTAGTTTACATAATTAATTATACTAAAAAAGATATAGTTATAAATTAAAAATTTGGTTATACTGAATAATTGCTATCCAATACATGTGATAAATTTAATCCTACACTATCCTTGCTAGACCTTTGATAATAATTTTCTAGTTCCGGAATTTAATTTCTATTTCAATATAAACTGTGAATTGCTTACATTATAATCATGTGTGGCAAAAAATACAGATGTAATTTTTTCTGGAGCTGAGCTGGATTTTGTGTTTTACATTACTTCTCTCTTCCCTCCTGAAGGGAGGGAGAGGAGGGAATTTGTAGTTTACATAGCAAAATTTTAAAAAAAAATTCAAAATTTTTTCTGAATTGTTCTGTGATTGTATAAAATTCTTTCTGAAATTTCCCGTAGCTCTATGTATATTTATCTAAATTTTTTTACTATGAGGGAGAGGGGGGTAATGTAAAATACAGAATTTAGTTGGTCTCATCTAAGTGTCAATATCAAGTAGATA